AAAATTCAATGCTCTTTATGCGAAATTACTTATCAAAGGCAAAAGTGGGCATGGGCAAAGTAATGCGGCCGTCTCGAGCTTACAATGTATAAACAATGTTTTCAACAATAGAAAGTCGGTGCTAACGCGATGGTTGCTTCACGTATAAAAATAGTTAAGTACATACGACGTGGTGATGTTGGTGGCAATGGAACTTACATCCAAATAGAGATAACGTAGCCTTAGCGAATAAGAGGGAACAGGAAATGGCTATATTGTCGATCGACCCAATTATTATACCGTACAGTCCCGAAAATGCTTTATGTATAGGATTTCTTTTGCGCGATGAATGACGGATGTTTGTTTAATTGTTCGATAAGCTCTTTCATCTTCCTCGGCGAGATTATTTCATGAGACGCGTGCACGTCGAAGTCTCATTAATATTTGAATAAACCTCGCCAGGAAATTGAAATAAATAATATGATCCTGTACCTTAAACTAATATTAATAAAAATTTCAGGCCTTAAAGCCTTGCGCGGTAGTCAATCTGTCGATCCGATGTTTGCTCGCCTCGTGATATTTGATTGAGCGAGTGCTTCATGGCGCCTCTCTCCTCTCGATAATAATGGCCCACGCACTTAACGCCCCCGAGGAGCTATTTTTCGAGGGTAAATTTTGCCGATCTCTCGGTGCATTTATTTAATGGACTGCGAAGGGGCCGCAGCGCCTTGCTTGACTTGTCGGATATCCTTATTTTCTCGTTTTTTTTTTCTCGTTTTTTTTTTCTCGTTTTTTTTTTTTTTTTTCTGCGACGACAGCACACTCGAGCGGTAATATCAAGAGCTAATACGCGCAGCTTCAACAGCTAATTGACCAACTTCTTTACGTTGGGATAACGAAATTTGCTCGAGCTGCTTGACGAATGTTTCCTGTGGGGCGCGAGTCATCGATGGCACTCTTTCGGATCATCGAAAATATAACGAAGGAGAAGCGCAGCCGAGATTCGGTTGGCGGCGCATCGAGCGCTTGTCAGGTCGCGAATGAATTTGCGGAAAACAGCTGTCGTCATTGAAAATGAAGCTGTCAAGCCAAGGGAGATTATATTAAGTTCACGTATAAAATATTTAAATTATTAATAATTCAAATATCAAGAGCGGGTATGTCAGTCAAGTTGAAGCGGTAAAAATACAAAGAAACCGACGCGACTTTGCGATATAGTCATAAATCACCGTTAGGAATAAGACAGCCGACGAATCGATTATCCGTTTTAGTTTTGTAGTTTGAGTTTTGTAAAAAGACAACGCGGAAAACAGGGGAAAAATTGGAAAGCTGAGCAATCCTGGAACGAAACCTCGATATTAGTTTGTGCGTTCGCCGAGGCTTTTCCTCTCTCGTGGCAACGAAATGCCGACCGCGGGAATATCAAGAAACATGGGGACGTCTTTTAAAAGGGTAGCATTAGCCCCCTTGGAAATCGTTTTAAAGCACAAGCGAATTGAACAAGTCGTCCAAACCGCATTTTAAACTACTTTTTCCTCTCTCTGTCCGCGAGAGTAATGGAGAGAAGGCAAGCGCGGGAAGTCCGTCGGGATTCTGCAGTGTGACTAGGGGCGAGGAGATGAAGTGATCGGTAGAGGGAGGGTGAGGATGAGGATGAGGATGAGGATGAGGATGAGGATGAGGGGGTGGGGTGGGGTGGGCTGTGGGAGGCTGTGGGGGGGGGGGGCAGAGAGCTACACGAGAGGCCTTCATTATCGAAAAATTGATCCTATTAGGCAGTAGATGTGGCCAATGGCCAAACTTTCTTCCCATCTCATGTTTTTTCTCACGCTTGTAGACGCTGGGACAAGGATGGTGTAGGTATGCGACCGATGCAAAATGGATTGGCTTGAATGGAGAAAATCCTCACGACCTTTTGCGACTTGCCGCAAAAACTTCACCCCTTTTCGAAAACAAACTAGGCCGCTTTTTATTCTCGTCCGTGTCACGCTTTATTTGAATTTCATAGCGTCTAATGCTACGAACGATGAAAATTTCAAAAGCTCAAATTTCCTCAGTCCCGGGGAATTTCAATTTTGATACATGTACGGATAAAAGTGCTCCGTTATCTCAAAGAGTGAACAGGCCGACGATAATGAGGTATAATTAATTCGAGATACACACGGCGGCGCTTACAATTGCGTGTCTCGCAGCCCTTTAATACTTTCAAATCCATTAACCGTGCGTGCGTCCTTTTTTCCATTTAGCTGCTCGTTAAAATTGCGAGCGCAGGAGGGAGATTTTCACTTTTGACGATTTTACACAAGCGCGTCCTTTTTTGAATATGTTTACCACCCCCTGTTCTTCATAAATGAAACAATACCTATAAAGCTCGATTTTATAACAGGTGTTTGCATCTAATATAACTGTATTGGATTAAGTATAATGGCAATACAACCTATTTGTTTAGTAATTAATTATTACGCGAAAACAAATTGGAGTCAATTGTAAATGAAATTCTTTTTTAATGACGACAAAGAGA